GCGTCGCGCCACGGCCTGGCCAGGCCAGAGGCCCTTTACTACCAGGGTGAGTGTCTCTCTCTGGTCAAGGTCGGGTTGGGGGCCAGACAGGGCACTGGGTCACCGGAGCCGGGGCGCATAGCTCAGACGCAAGCACAGGGGGTTCCTGGGAGCCGAGGGGGCAGGGGGAGAACCCAAGGTCCCAAAGCTCAGATGTGGGGCTCCTGGGACGCTGGGGGGCAGGCCCCGGTCCCTGGGATACAGACATGGAAGCATCAGGGATCGGTGCCTCGGGACAGAGATATGGGGTCCCAGGAAGCTGGGTGCAGGGGGCCTGAGGAACGGAGCCTAGGGTCTGAGCGCGACAGATATGGGGACCCAGGGGACGTGCCCAGCAGTACAGATTTGGGGTCTCGGGGAATCAAGGGGCAGAACCTGAAGTCTCGGGAGCACAGAATTACAAACTCTTAATCTACCCCCAGGGTTTTGAGGAATCAGTGCTCAGGCCCAAGACGCTGAGGTTCTTGGCATCCAGATGTGTGGGGTCAAAGGAAGTCAGGGAATAGAGACTGGGTTCTAGGAAGACGGATATTAGGGATCCCAGGACGTCAAAATCTCAGGAACCAAGACATCTGGGGACTTGAGGGGTCAGGAGAACAGAGTCAGAGTTCTGAGCGCCCCAATGTCTGGGGTCAGAGAGAGCCAAGGAAACAGACCTGGGAGTCCTGATGAACCAGCAGGACAGGGGTCTAGGGCGCTGGGCACCCAGTTATGTGTGTTCACCATGGATCAGAGTTTCATCGTGTTAGAGGGCTTGGGGCTGAGGATTCTAATAATAGGGGACAGGACCAGGGAAATCTGGGACTCAAGAATTTGGGGCCATGCCCTAGCCGGTTTGGCTCACTGGATAGAGCGTCGGCCTGGGGACTGAAGAGTCCCAGGTTCAATTCCGGTCAGGGGCATGTACCTTGGTTGCGGGCACATCCCCAATAGGGGATGTGCAGGAGGCAGCTGATCGATGCTTCTCTCTCATCGATGTTTCTAACTCTCTATCCCTCTCCCTTCCTGTCTGTAAAAAATCAATAAAAATATATTTAAAAAAAAAAAGAATTTGAGGCCAGGATGAAGGATTCAGGGCTCTTCAGAAGGCCTCAGGGCACCAAAGCCTGGTACTGGAGATACAGGGACCAGGAAACTTGGGGGCGTTCAGGACTCCCAGTGATGAGGAGATAACAGAGGAGGCCAAACACCATCCTCCCCATCCTGACTCGATCCCTGATCTCAAGGAAGGGGCATCCCCTGCCACAGCTGTGCTCACCTCACCAGCCCCAAGTGACCCCCAAAGTGGCAAAGCCCATGCTTAGAGCCTCCAAACCTTTGCCCAGTTTCTGCACCTCCCACCCCATTAGGGTACATCCTCTAGCTGTGCGTCCGGAGGCCTGCTACTGCCCCCCGCCTCCCAATCCCCAGGTGAGAACCCAGGCCTCAGTTTTCCCATCTATGTGATGGGTAGATATGGATTTCCCTGCTGCCAAGGTCCCCCTTGCGACAGTGTGATCTGAACAGGCTTCTGGTATCACCTTCTCTCACCTTCTGACCCACCCCTCTCCCCAAACACTCTAGGCAGTCACCCCACACCCAGCACTTCAACCTGTCTTTACCTCCCTCAGCCACAAATTCACTCAGCAAACAGGCCCTGAGGACCCCCTGCTGGGTGATGATGGGGTTCAGTCCTTGAGGGACTTTCTGCCTAGCAGGAGAGGAGAGTCAAAAACATGGAAAGTGACAACGAGGCCAGTGTGGCTCAGTGGTTGCGCATGGACCTATGAACCAGGAGGCCATGCTTCGATTCCAGGGTTGCAATCCCCAGTGGGGGACGTGCAGGAGGTAGCCGATCGCCGATCGATGATTCTCTCTCATCATTGATGTTTCTCTCTCTCCCTCTCCTTTCCTCTCTGAAATCAATAAAAAAAATATATATTTTTTAAAAGTGACAATGAGAGTGACCAGGGCTGGGGGACACGGACTGAGTGGGGGAAGCTGTGGGAGCCCAGAGGAGGGACATGGAAAGGGGCTTTGTCTTGAGCCTTCAGGACCCAGAATGAGATGCAAGAGGGCCTGGGGAAAAGGGCAGGTGGCACTGCAGGAGCAAAGGCCTGGAGGTGGGCCGAGGGCTAGGGATCTGTGGGCTTGGCCTCACCCATGTCTTTTCTCTGCCCAGGACCCTTACTGCCTCTGTACCCCACCCCAACCATGGCCTCCCCCTTTCCTCTGCTGGGCCTGCCTCCGCCCCTGTACCCCATGATGTGCTCCATGGAACACCCTCTGTCAGCCGACATCGCCGTGGCCACCCGCGCAGATGAGGACGGAGACACGTGAGTACTAGCCCCCCGTTAATGGGGAGTGGGAGTGGGGAAGCCAGCTTTCCAGCTTCAGCCACCACCACACAGGGGCACTAAGCCTGGCCTCTCTAGTTAACTCCACCGCTGGCTGTGTGACTTTGAGCGAGGCCCATCCCCTCCTGGAGCCTCACTTTCCTCTTCTGAAAAATGGGCGCCCTGAGAGCACTTACCTCCTAGTACCGATTTTGGAGTAAGGGGTTTCAAACTTGTTATCACACTCCAACAATGAGAAAGACATTTCATTGGTTGATTTATTATATGAATGATGCATGCTAAGCTCCTAGTACCGAGCATGGTAGGTGATGAGTGCTCAATAGGTATTAATTAACATTATTATTATTGTTATTTTATATTAAACTCAGCACACACACATACTATAAACCAGAAATAAAAATCGCACCAAACAAAACCATACCCTCACTACGTGGGATCTGCTTTAGTGTTTTCTATTCTAGTGTATTTCTCTCATTGTTTCGTGGTCACAACCCACTAAATTAATTTCACGATCCCTTAAACTGATTTCACAAATCCCATGGTTTTGTCACCGGCCGTTTGAAGAACCTATCCTTGAAGCTGCTGAGAAATCCCGCACAGGAGGGTTTAGCCCTCTGCACACTTGACCATCAGGCTTATAATTCCATTGACCTCCGTTTGAATCTCAGCTAGTCACTTTCTCACCCCTCCCTGCCTCAGTTCCCCCCTGTAAAAACAGGAACCATAAGTGTGCAGGAGTCTGCGAGGCAAACATGAGATGGTTTCTGTATAGTGCTTCTCTGGGAATAGGTTTGGGGACTGCAAACCACAGGTAGGCACGGATTGACAAGCCTATTTCTGCAGGGAAGTGGGGGGGGGGGACTCCACTGCTGGATGTGAGGCGACTTCACATCCCTGAGCCTCAGTGTTTCTATCGGGAAATCCACAGCTCATAATAGCACCGATCCCAGTGAGGATTCAGTGCAACGATGAACATTCATACAGTGCAGGGCACGGGGCCCAGCGCACAGTAGGTGCTCAATACACGTGGGTGGATGTTGTTGGAACAGAGCTCCCCAGGCAGTGTGGGCCACGGTGTGCACCCAAGCGGGAGAAAGTGTCTGAGATATATAAAGGACTCGATAAAGCTCGTTTCCTCCTCTGGCTACCTCCGGGGTCGTCTGTGAAATGGATTGAATGCGTATCTGCCCCCAGGGGCGAGTCGTTTGTAGCCTGTGCAAGGCAGGGTGCCGGAGGAGACCTAGCAGGCCAGGCTGTAGCCCCGCGCCCCGCCCGCCCTCCCCCGCTCTCTCACTCTCCCGCCCCTCTCCCCTCTCCCCCAAAGCAAACACTTCTGCCTCAGCTGCTAGTCCGGGGAAATCCCTTCCCGCAGAACCTGACCGCAGCCCAGCTGCTCTGCCTCCCCCACGTCAGCACCCGTCACTCACTCGCAGCCTCCCCCTCCCGGCGCTCCCTCTAACCTTAACCCCTTCCGCTGGGGCCAGGCTTTACCGGAATGGGCAGCTGGCACAGCCTGGGGGGGGGAGGACACGCTAAGGCTGGGCCCCCAAAGCTGCAAAGCTTGGTTGGGAGGCTAGACTTAGAGGGACTCAGGGAGCAAGAATCTCAGGGCTTCTGGACCCCCAAGAGGTCAGGCACTGGCAAGCAAAATCTGGGTCTGGGGGTGGGGGGTGTTGGGGGGGAGACGAGCACTGAGTCCCAGAGAGCAGAGTTGGGGGCTCAGCATTCCTGGATCTCTGATGCGGAAAGGAACAGGATGCAGGGCAGCCAGGGCATCTAGAGAGGGACTGGGAAGTCCGATCAGCCAAGAGGTAGGGTCCCAGGAGACTTTGAGGTGGATGCTGGGATGAGGGGGACAAGAAGCCATCTGGAGTCTGCGGCGTACCAGGGGGGCCTCCAGGCTGGAGACTTGGGGTCTTTCCCCCCACGCGCCCCCCAGAAAAGCGAGGTCTCTTTGGCTTGGGCTTCCCCCTCCTTTACCCCATTCGAGGATGGAAGTCGGGGTGCCGGGGGAGGGGGCGGGTGGCCCGGGTAGATCCCCGGCGACTCAGGCTTCCCTCCCCCGGGAGCAGGAAGCGGAGCCCCGCCCAGCAGACCTGTTACTGGAAGTCCGAGGGCAGGGCCGCCCCTCCCGTCCCCACTTCCTCCAGCCCCGCCCCACCCCCTGCGGCCCGCGCGTTTATGGGAACTCAGGCCTGGACGGTTTCTCTGAAATCATTCGCTCCCTCTGCCCTCACTTAACCCCGCCCGCGCGGAGAGGGACGGGGGCGGGGGTGGGGGGTGCGTACCGAGAGAAGCGGGGAAGGAAGGGACCCCGTTCCCAGGAGGCCCAGATCTGGCCCCTCCCCAACATTTTTTTTTTTTAATTGAGCTTTCAAGGATCAGGGTCCAGGTTCCGCGTTCCTCCTGCATAATCTCCCCCTGGGAGGTGGATGATACTTTACAAAAGAGAAAACCGAGGCTCAGAAGGGCCACGTGCCTTTGCCTTAGCACACACAGCTAGGGAGGACACCCCCATTTGAAACCCTGGCCTCCTTAGCACCCCCCCCAAAGCCCTCTGGGCTGCTGGGTGTCTCCATCCCCAGCCAAGCACCTAGGGAGCTGGTCCAGGATGCACATTCTCCAGTTGGGAGCAGTTGGTCCAGGAAATGGACTTGGAAAGGTTGTGTGGGCTGTGTACTTGCAGGCAACCTTGGGCCCTAAGTGCCAATGTCAATGTCCCCGACCCTGAGCGAACAGGCGAAGGCCCATGCACAGTCATCCCAGATTGCCCTCCGCTTGGATTGGCTGTTGCAGGTTGGGGGCCCTGGGAAGCTGGCAGAAAGCTTATGGGCTGGGCCCCCGGGAGAAGTCGAGCTGCTGTGCGTCGCACAGGGGATGTGACAGCTGGAGTGGCCTTCACAGTTGAGGCCAGAAGGCCAGGCCCTTTATGCCAGACATTGTGTCCCACTGGATGGTGGCTGCTCCCCTCGTGAGCAGTGCTCCTGGGCAGAGGGTAATTCCCAGAGAAAGCGGAGAGCTGATAGCCTTCCCAGAAGCTGCGGGAATGAGACCTTCCGTTGCACAGCCCAAACTCCAGAACAATGACCCCATCCCACTTCCCTTTGGGGCAAGACTTTCTCCACTCTTTTCTCCGCTGAATGGGATGTGGAGTCACAACCGATGGAGACTTTACTGGCATCTAGTTCATCCCCACTCATTTCACAGATGAGAAAACTGTGGCCCCAAAGGGGTGGGAACGTGGTCACCAGCTTCGAGGATGGCCAGGGATCGTTGGAATGGATTCATTTATTCAGCGCATGTTCACAGAGCACCTGCTCAGCCCTAGGCACTGGGCCGTGGCCGAAGCAGACAAAACACCCTGTCCTGGTGGAGTTAACCTTGGGGGGTGGGGGGGGATTCAGACAGGAAACAAGTAAACTGTACAATGTCAAGTGGAGAAAAGCTAAGCAGGGTAAGGAGGAGGGAGGGAGGGAGCCGATGCCATTGCATTTTGGCAGAGGCCCTGCAGGTATGTGGCAGAAGCCTGTTCCAGGCCGAGGAAACAGCCACTGCTAAGGCCCCGGGAGGCAAGCATGCGTGTTATGTTTGAGTAACGACAAGGAGGCCGGTGGTCAGAGCCGAATGAGGAGAGCTGATGGAGAGCAGGTCAAAGGGGTTGAAGAGCGGGAGACAAGATCACTCAAGGCCTGTGGGTCATGCGAGGACTCGGCCTTGACTCTGAGGGTTCTGAGCCGAAGGGGGGGGGCATGCCTTGACATGGGGTCTAACAGGGTCCCTCTGGCTGCTACGTGGGGGACAGACAGTAGGGCCATGGTGGAAGCAGTGAAGCCAATGAGGAGGAGACGGTCCGGGATGATGGGGGCTGAGTCAGGATGAAGGGAGTGGGGGTGGGAGGAGTGACTGGATTCTGGAGAGATTTCCAAAGTATCGGCACATATTGGAGAAAGCGCTGCTAAGAGCATGGGGGTGAGAGGTGACCGGCCCCTAATGTCTGTGACCCTCACCCCCAGGCCGCTCCACATTGCCGTGGTGCAGGGCAATCTGCCAGCTGTGCATCGACTAGTCAGCCTCTTCCAGCATGGGGGCCGGGAGCTGGACATCTACAACAACCTCAGGCAGGTGAGGCTGGGGCCTGGGGCCTGGAACCTGGAACCTGGACTCCTGGGTCTGAGGGAGGAGGGGCTCCAGATTTCTGGCTCCTGAGGAAGACTGCAGCTGGGGGTCAGGACTGGGAAATTCTGAGGGAGGCAGGACTAGGACCAGGGCAGGGCACACACGGGCCCCTCACAGTCTCTGTTCCCCAGACGCCGCTACACCTGGCTGTGATCACCACTTTGCCATCTGTGGTCCGGCTACTGGTGATGTCCGGTGCCAGCCCCATGGCCCTGGACCGCCATGGCCAGACAGCAGCCCACTTGGCGTGTGAGCACCGCAGCCCGACCTGCCTGCGGGCCCTGCTGGACAGCGCGGCCCCGGGCACAGTGGACCTGGAGGCCCGCAATTATGACGGTGAGTACGGGCTCGGGCCCAGGGTGGGGCTGTCCGGCAGGTCCTGGGGTCCTTCTGGGGCTGCAAAATCCCAGGCCCGTGCTTGACTGAACCTCCCTCTCCTTTAGGGCTCACTGCCCTGCATGTGGCCGTGAACACCGAGTGCCACGAAGCGGTGCTGCTCTTGCTGGAGCGTGGCGCGGACATCGACGCGGTGGTGAGCGAGGGAGCGAGGGCCAGGGATGCGGCCAGGAGGAGCGGGGGCCCAAGAGGGCGGGGCTGCGTGGGGGAGCGCCTGCGTGGGCGGGTGGGGCTTGAGGGCTCCGTCCCGCTTGAGGGGGGGGGATCCGGGCCGCCAGCTGTTGGGTCAGAGCTCGGAGCGACTCAAGGGCCTTCCCTCCCCGCCGCAGGACATTAAGAGCGGCCGCTCCCCACTCATCCACGCCGTGGAAAACAACAGCCTGAGCATGGTGCAGCTGCTGCTGCAGGTGGGTGCGCCCTGCCCGCGGCCTCCCCCACCCTTTCCCCCGGCACCAACCCGCCATCGTCCCCATCTGTCCAGCTCCGACCCTTCCTTCTAGGCCTCGTTCTGGCCGCGCTAAGACTTTACCCCCAGGCTGCGGACGCTCCCTGGGCCCTCTGCTATTCCCCCGCCGCCCCCGAACGGCCCAGGCTCCGCCCAGCGAGAGCCTAGCAGGCCCGGTCCCGCTCCCGCCGTCCCGCGCAGACCCAGCCCCTTCCCCTCTCTGACTCCGCCCCGACTTCGGCCAGACTCGGAGTCTAGCGCGGTTTGATTCAACGCCGCCCCGCCTAGTCCCGCGCTGACCCGTCGGGGATTCTAGCTCCCATCCTTCTCTCCATCACCAGCCCGCGAGGGGTCCTGCCCCGGGCTCTGGCCCCGCCCCTCCCTGGCTCC